GTCTTTCCGGCTTCTCTCTCGCGGTGAAATCACTCCCGGCAAAAAAGTGTGTGTGTGTGTGTGTGTGTGAGACATAGATCCAAGCTGAAAAGACATGGCCGTCCTGGACTCAGACACTGGAGCCAGGTGGCGTCGAAGAGTTGGTGGGTACCGATCCAAGGGAAAGGCCTGTCCCCGCTTCTCTTCCACTCCCCCCCCCCCCCCCCCGCCGCCCTCAGCCCCTCAAATGGGACACAGGATCCGCTCCTGTCCGAAGCTGGGAGAGTCATTTGCCTACTTCTTGCTCTGGGAGTTTCTGTCCCGTTAGAAACCCAGCAGACCTGCATTTCTTCACTCCCAGCTTTGTTCCTGGTGGGCTTCGGACTTAGGCCCAGGCTACCCCTTGTCCCAGCCAGTCCCCTTCTATACTCGGGGTACCCTCATACACGGGTGAGTGCACACAGCAGCCATCAAATCCTTCTCCCCCACTGGACCCTCTGGGAGTCATGTTTAGGACTAGTTCTAATTTTGCAAGACTTTTTTTCTCCCTATAGAATTAGACTCTAACATATCTTGCTTTTCTTGTTCACGTAAAAGCAGATTTTACAGACGCAAATAAATGTCTGTGGGAGACCAGTGGTGGTGCGGGAAATTCTCTCTGCCTTCTTCATAGAATTCCCCCGCCCCCCATATCTCTCCTATCCCTTTCTTACTTCCCCTCCTCCTCTCTCCCGGTCCCTCCCTTCCCCCCAAACCATGTGTTCTTTATTGAGAGCCCTCTCTGCTCTTACTTGTCACTGGCCCACACAACCTTTCAGTGCCCACACAACGTTTCAATGGGACATTTCAGTGCAGTGTCCAGATCCTCATCCACTTCTTAGATCTTAACTCATCCCAGCTGATTTTCTGATGGGGAGAAAAGTAGTGCCAATGCATTTTGACAAATAACTGTGTAAGTGTATGGGTATGTGGGGGGGGGCGCCTCATACCCGCAGCTGTGACAGCGAGGTGCCGCTCCTTTAACCAGCACAATTAGCAATTGCTACCATTGCACTTGTGACTAAGAACCAGAAGTTTTCATTTTTCTTTCTAGGAGCACCAAGCAGCTTTTCTGTAGGACTCAGGATTTCTTGGCTTTGTCCAGTCTGGGGCTACATCCTGAGATCATGCTGTGACCGGGCCGGTGACCAGGCTGGTGTCCAGGCTCTTTCCCTGCAGGTCACTCTAATGTTCCAGAGCTCCAGACCCTATAGAAAAGGACTGTGTGAAAGGCACACACACAACCAGGGACATTATTTTGAATAGATTATAATTTCCTTTAAAGACCTGTGTCCAGGGAGAAGAGAGGTCATCATCTCTCAGAGGCCTGGAGAGGCCCTTGGGCCATGAAACAAACGCTTGTCCAGTTAGCCAGCCCGCGAAAGGGCTGCACACAGATGGATGCTGAGCCATCCGGATAAAAGTCACTTAGGCAGGCTTTCAAACCAGGGAGGAAGAGCCTTCAAGGAAACAGGGTATGATCACCACCCGGGCCTGGCCAGCCAGCTGGCTGTTCATTTCATCTGAAGTGCCCCTGTGATGGGCAGTGCGATAGGCAAGCCAATGCAAGCTTCCCACCCCCCCCCCCGCCCCCAAAACTTCAGCTTCAATTTGCTCGTGGGCAGATAGCGTGTGTGGACACAGCTGTGATTCACAGTAAAACTGTAGGGACTTCCCTGGAGGCTTTCTGGGTAATTTGTCCTCTTGGGGGACATTTCCAAGGTTGGTGTCAGGGCCGCACTTCTTGACTTCCAAGCTGCACTGCTGGATCACAACATTTCCAATTAGCCACATTCCTCTCCTGAACTTCGAACTTCATGTCCCACTGACTCCAAGGGGGGGGGGGGAAGAGAATGAACTCAGTGCACGACTCTTCCAGCAGCAGGGAGGGTGGCTTCTGCTTCCCAAGTCACTTCCAAAAGAATTACAGAGATCCCCAATCTCAGAAATGAGGAGGGAGTTGGAGTAGGGAACTCTGTCTGGAGTATTTTTTTGAAACTTTAGGGAAACTCTAGGAGCAACCTGTTGAACCCAGCTGGGGGTGGGGGTGGGGGAGGGTAGTGGGCTCGGATCTGGTTTGGTCTGGCAGGGACTGGATACCACCATCTATAAAGCCTTAGCCAAAAATCACTGTCCTGGTCCTGGGCTGGATTGGACTTGTTGAACACAAGGGATTTGAACTCCTGAAGTCTTCGGAGGTAGTTGGAGCCCCATGAATGCACACTCTTCCTTCTAGGAATCCTCAGGTACCTCTGGGTGGAGAAGGACCGAGCTAATTCTTTAGGTGCATCAAAACCTCTCAGGCCCTGTAGGAAAGGAGAGAACACACAACAAAACAGATTGTTTCCCCATTCCTTCATGTTATTCCAGCGAGCGGTGTGTGGGCACTCAAGAGCCAAATCAAGCCAATTCAAGGCAATACCTTGGTCTGAGGGTGGGTGCAGGGCTCCGGAAGTCACTAAGGAGTCTATAGCAAGCCTGTCTCCCCAGGAATGTGTGGGTTCCCAGAAGGGCTAATTGCTCAGCAAGAGAGCACCGGCCTGCACTGTGAAGCCCTGGAGACCCAACCTGGGCTCAAAATCAAATGAGAGTCAGCCCTAGAAGATTTCCTCATGTGCATGGTGGGTTTGGGGTTCCCTCCAGAAATACACTTTTGGTAATCCCCCTTCCCATACTGTTACTGTGGGTCCTAGGAAGTGTTTGGTTATCTCTGCTCAAACTCTGGGATGGATGGAAAAGAAAAGCATCTAGCTCTTCAGATACCATCCAAAAGTGGGTTAGGAAATAAGGACGATGACTTTGGTGACTCCTAATCAGCCAAAAAAAAAAGGGGGGGGAGAAAAAGCAAGCAAGCAAGCTTTCCCCTTCACAAATTGAATCATCTTAAGTAAAAGCGGGTTAAACAGGCCTCCACTCCAAACAGCTTCTCCACTTAGTACTATGAATACACAGGCCCCTCCCCAAGGGTGGGTGGATATGGGGGAGGGTGTGCAGACATTTTCTTGAGTCTCCAGAGGCCTTTCTCCCAGGGTCAAACCAAGCCTTCTGACACCAGGCCCAGCCCAAAGCTTGTTTGCTCCCCCCCCCCCCCCCACTGACAGTGGGTTGGTTCTTAAAGGGCCAACTCATGGAAGGTTGAACAGTCACCATTTTAAACTCACCCCCCCCACCCCAATCTTTGCCTTAATTAGGAGTGGGCAAATAGGATAGGGGTCCTGGGTTCATGTCAAAATTGTCAAAGGAGGTGGGGGAAGGGAGATGGAGAGAGGGGTGGACTGACTCCAGGGCAGGAAAAATTCAAATATGATAAAAGAAAAAGGGGGAACTTGAAGCCCAGAAGTCATTGTTTCCTTTATTTCAAAGGGAAAAACCTGCCTGATTCTCATCCTTTTGATTGATTAAGGCCCTGAATACCTCACAGTCCCGGAGTGACAGTCTCTGAATAGACTTGAGCGAATAAAGCGAGGAGCAGAGACGCGGGGCTGGCACTCGGGGGTGTAAAGGAGGCGAGTTCGCTGGCACTTACCAAGTTATAAATAAAAGGCTATGCACAATGGTACCTTCTCTAAGGACAGACAGTCTTTACAACACTCCTGGCGTCATATCCTGCTGAGGGACACTTCAGCTCCTAGCCAAGACTTTGCTCCTTTTATTTTTCCAGCCCCTTTAGTCTGAATGCCATAATAAATTCCTGAGAACAAACGCTGCAGCCGGGCAAAACTTTAACATATAGATGCATCTCTGCCTCCGGGGTCTATACGTGGAGATTTAGAGCCCCAGCATCCTAAGAGAGTTTTTGTTTTTTTGGTGTTTTTTTTTTTTTTTAACCAAGTAAAGGAGATGACTCTTCCTAACGGGCCAAACTTTAACGATATAATCTTAGGGCCTGGTTACCTGCTTACTGCCTATCTGCCCAGCTACCCACCTCCTATCCCTCACCTCTAGATGGAAAAGACAGAAAGGACATTACAGGCACATCCTGGACTCTTCAGAGAGGAACCCTATGGGGAGGATCTTAGAACGAGTCCAGGCCAAGGGGCAGAGACTGACCCGAGGAAGGGAAACTAAGCCTTATCAGCGCCCCCTGCGGCGGGCAGTAAGCCCAGCCCGAGACCCACAGGTGGAAAAAACGGAGATTTAAAGAGAATGAGAGAAACAGTCGAGACAGGCGGACACGGAGAGACACAGAAAGACACCAAGTCAGAGACGCAGAAACAGGCCAGGAGAGAGACCGCGGAGGCGCGCGCCCCGAGAGTGGTAGACTGAGGCACGCGCGCGCGCGTACACACACACACACACACACACACACACACACGCCTCCGCCGCTGTCATCACCCTCGGGCTGTTGTCTCCCGGTTCCTCGGGTCCACCACCACCACCACCACCCTTCTCTCTTCGGGGCTGGGGCTCAGCGCGAGTCACTCTTGGGGTCCACGGAGGCCTGGGCAGTCTGGGATGGGAAGAGAAAGTGGCCGCCGTCGCCCAATCAGCGCAAGCCTCCGCCACCCGGGCCGGTCTCCTCGTGGGCCAATCGCAGCTCAGGGCTCCTGACCAAGCTTTGGGTGAAAGAACTAATAAATGCTCCCTAGCCGGGATCCCAGCACTCGGGGTCCCGACGAGAGGAAGGCTTGGGCCGCGCTCCTGCCTCGCCCCCCTTCCTCCCCCCCACCCGGCTCATCCCGGCACTTGGAACTCCCCCCCTCCACTTTTCCCAGCGCCGCCCCCTCCCCAGCCCAGCTACGGCGCCATTCGACCAGACAGACGCACACCAAACTTTTTCCACCCTGGGCTTGGGGATCCCGGACTCTAGGGGTCTCCACACCCGGCCCCCCCTCCACCTTCCATCTCCAGCCTCTGGATTAGGAGGCCAGCAGCCGTCCCCCTCCTCCTCCTCCTCTTCCTCCTCCTCCTCCTTTCCCGCGTCCCTCCCTCTCTTTCCTGTCGTTTTTGGGGGGGGGAGGGAGGAGCTCTTCACGCTCCGTAGAGTTCCCCAGGGTCACCCGCTGCGCCGCGATCGTTTTTTTTCCCCTTTTGCCTTCTTCACCTGGATATAATTTCCGAGCGAAGCTGCCCCCAGGATGACCACGCTGGCCGGCGCTGTCCCCAGGATGATGCGGCCCGGCCCGGGGCAGAACTATCCACGCAGTGGGTTCCCGCTGGAAGGTAAGGAAGGGCCTCGGCGCCACCTGAATCCCGGGGCTGGAGATCGACTGTCTCCCGGCCCCCCCACCCCCGACCATCCCCGACCCGCACCGACTCCTTGGAGAGTCCAAGGAGGAAGTCCCACTTCAAGAAGCCGGAGTTGGGGGCCAGGCCCGGCCTCACTTTCCATCTACCATCCGCTGCTCCCCGGTGAAAAGCCCGGCGCGGAGTTTGGCGGCCAGGCCTGCGGCCCGCGGGCTCCACCACTTTCTCCCGTTGTTTGGAAAGGGGATGAACAGCGTTTGGAGCCACCCACAGAAGCCACTTCTGCGCGCAAACATGGTCCCGGTGGAGTCCACATTGGGAGGACGTTTGGGCGACCCCGCGGAACCTTCTCGCTGGGCAAAGTTGTAGTGACTACCTGCCATCGTAATTGGACTTTATTTTTTTTTTAGCACTAATGCATAATAATAACAACAATAATAAATCAATCCCGTTCAATTCAAATAGCAGCTCCAAGTTTCTGGATCCTGTTTGGGGATGTCTTTTCCCTCTGTCTGCCTGAAATGTTAGGGCATTTCAGAAAGTTTTGCAACTGCCTTCTTTTCCTTCCTCACCCCCTTCAAGAGCTTTTCTAAACAATTTGAAAGGTTAGGGCCCGGGCGAGCAGGGGAGGGGGGTGGATTTGGACGGTGTCTTCAGTACCCCACGAATGCAACACCCGTGCTATGAAGTGAGGCCGCGATGCCCACCAGCCTGAGCGCCACCGCTGTTGCTGCGTGTAACAGGTGACATTGGCCACCACCTGTGCCGGCGTTCGGTGTCCTTTCTGACTCTCTGACTGTACTCCAGAAACCCCAAGGGCTGACAGCTCGCCCCAAACCCTTACTGTAGCCCCCAGATGGGCAGATTTTGAGGATAGATCTTGCCAGGACCCCGTCTTCTCCACCAACCCCAGGGGCTGCTTGCTCCAAGTCGCTAGTCTGGGGTCGAAAGGGAAGAAGAGCAGGTAGCCCGGCCTCATCACGCGATTCCATGCCGCTGGGATGCTTAATAATTTGACCAAATGTGACCAAAAGCGGGCCTAGAACTGGGAGTCGGGTAGGAAGCAGTTTAACTTTGGGGCTGTCAGAGAGAAGAATGCAAAATTTGGTGGGTTCGTCTTTTCTTGTTGTTTTCTATTCTCTCTAAGTGACTTTCTTCGCGTCCCTCTCTTTTTTGTTTTTTTGTTTTTCTCCTTTCTTCTCCCAGTGTCCACTCCCCTGGGCCAGGGCCGCGTGAACCAGCTCGGCGGAGTATTTATCAACGGTAGGCCGCTGCCCAACCACATCCGCCACAAGATCGTGGAGATGGCTCACCACGGCATTCGGCCCTGCGTCATCTCGCGCCAGCTGCGCGTGTCCCACGGCTGCGTGTCTAAGATCTTGTGCAGGTACCAGGAGACAGGCTCCATCCGTCCCGGAGCCATCGGCGGCAGCAAGCCCAAGGTGAGCGAGCGGGCCTGGCTGTCCTTACTTGGGGCTTGGGCGGCAGTTTATCTAATGGAAGAGCAGGTCGGGACTAAGGGCTGCCACTTGGGGCTTTTCAAAAAGTTAGTCTTCAAGTCCGGGAAGGAGTGCGTGTGCGTGTGTGTGCACACGCGCACACACGCACACGGGTGCAGTAGCAGGGACAGTCCTTGACAAACATTATAGGCAAACGCAACGTTTTGTAAATGAAACACATAAATCCTGGGAGCGCTGAATATCTCATGAAATTATTTTAACGAACACCGAGAGCTTGGAAGCTGTACACGTTCACCTGTTGCTGGTATCTTCTCAACTGTCTTCCCTCAAACCTCATTCATCGCACTGCGCTTTCCAAACTTCAGAACCTCTTTTTCTGTTGGTTTAAAAAATGATTTCTGTCCCATATTTAATTATCCAAAGACTCCAAAAAAAACCATTTGTGATTTTTTTTTTGTAGTAAGCATTGACTCTGCTTCAAAATAGCAATTTAAAACGATCTTCAAATTATTTTGGTTCTCTTTTCAAAGAAATTCACACTGGCTAGGGCTGTGTATGTGGAGATTACACAGGCACTATCTTTTCTTCTGCTTCCGAAGGAAAGCCAGGATGATTTTCTAGTTTGCAGGGGGCAAACCCCAAAAGGGTTATGGTAAACTAGGGACTTTCAAATATCCTTCAATTCCCTCATTCTCCCCAACCCTTTCTCAACCTAAGAATCCTTATAAACTCTTTATTTGTAGTGAGCGGAAAGTATAAATCTCTCATTAGGCATATCACTCTTCCACTCCATTTTTAAAAATTCAGATAGACAACTTTTTTGCATCTCATTCTGCTCTTCCCTTAAAAAAAACAATCTTGTATCTGTGCAGTGGTACAAGTTGCTGATCTAATTAGTTTGTTCAGTAGCTCTCTCAAGCATTACCTTTTTAGTTTCATTTTCGCATGATTCGGGTACAAAGAGTTGTCTTTATTCCCAAGCATCAGAAAATGCTGCCCTTGCCTCCAAGATAGTCTAATTCTTCTTGATTTCAGTGGGTTGTGGGAGCTTATCTGGGCAGGTGGAGGGTCCCCAGGCTGCACCGGAGTTCCTGTCTGCCTCTTTGTAAAGCGAATTGCCTTTGAGAGTTGTGATTCTTTGGCTAACATGTGTGTGTGGGGGGGAATATCTTCTCAGAGGATACAGGAAAGGGCACCAGGCTAAGTGGTGGGTTATTTTGTCTAGCCCAGAGTACTGGGTACCCATGCGGCCCGCATGTTCTCTTAAAGCAGGTAACGACGCCTGATGTGGAGAAGAAAATTGAGGAATACAAACGAGAGAACCCTGGCATGTTCAGCTGGGAAATCCGAGACAAATTACTCAAGGACGCAGTCTGTGATCGCAACACAGTGCCTTCAGGTACTAGACCCAATTAAGGTCTCCATGCCGACAGTCAGTCACTATTATCCATGTGGACATCCACACCACAATCCCTCAATGATTGATCCTGACTATTGGGTGGCTGTTCTCCCAAGGCCCTGAAATATTTATAAACCAGACGTTCTTGGCATTTTATGGAGCTGGGCGGGGGGGGGGGGGGGGGGGGGGGGTTGCTTGTCCCTGGGGTGGAGGGTTAAGAGACCTCCATGGACAGACATCTCTCCAAAGAAGGCAGGGAGGGGGATGTGAGGCAGAGGCCAAGCATTTATTAATATTGATGTTCCCTTTTAAAGAGAAACAAATGTTTTGGTAACCCCCGTCAAAAAGAGATGGAGCCCTACCAATCAAGATTCTGCTTGTGCTAAAAGAGAGCTCAGGCAATTCCCCCTCCCATATTCCTCTCAGGGACCATCCAGCCTACCACCAACTCTCTCCCCCCCCCCCCCAAGGGAAGAGAAAGACCAGCGGTAGAACCAGAGTCAGGGAGCGTTGGGGAGTTTGTTTTTAATTAAAAGGAAACTCCCTTTTTCCCTTTGCAAGAACGATATATTTCAGGGCATGGATTTGTTTACCAGACTGGAATCTGGAAAAAATAAATGGGGGAGAGTGCATTTTCTTTTGATTTTTACAATAGGAAACGATTCTGCAGTTGAAATTTAAACCTTTTATAGCCTCAAAAAAAAAAAAAAAAAGTTGGTTTGCAGGGGGAGCAGGTCCGCGGTGGCTCTTGACTGCATTCGAACCTCGAACCTCCAGGGCCAAAGGACTTCAGGTGGGGAGACTCTCAGGCCGGAAACTTAGCATACCATTGAAGAAGTGAAACAAACACTTCTCAAAAGGAGAGGGACAAAGATGACATTTTCTTTTTCCACCCACAGTCGAAGGCTGGAGGAGCTGCTCCCGCTTCCATACCTAGAGGCCTATAAAAGGGATGGGGGTTGTGAGTGGAAGGAAGAGACAATAGTGTGCAGCACGGATGGCGGAGGCCGGAGATTCGGATTCCGGAGGGAGATTCCAGCTGAGGGAGCAGGACAGGATGGAGGGTGGCCCTGGTTGGGGCTTTTAGGGGGATGGATCTTGAACAGCCTGGTGTGTTTCAACTGACCATGGGCTCTTCCTCCTCTCATCTGCAGTGAGTTCCATCAGCCGCATCTTGAGGAGTAAATTTGGGAAAGGCGAAGAGGAAGAGGCTGACCTGGAGAGGAAGGAGGCTGAGGAAAGTGAGAAAAAAGCAAAACATAGCATTGACGGCATCCTGAGCGAGAGAGGTGAGTGGTGGCGCAGTGGCTGCTAGCTCCTGGCCCTGGCTTGTCCTGGTTCTCTGACAACCCATGGCTGGCTACTGTAAGAGCCTTCAAATGAAAGAGCACAGAAGTACTTGCTATGAAAACCAACATCTGCTCTGTTCTAATCTGTTACTTTTATCTTCATGGTGCTGGGGATGGAATCCAGGGTCTCACGTATACTAGGCAAGTGTTCTACCACAGAGTCAAACTTTCCTTTATTTATTTGTTGTTATTATTATTATTACTATATACCAGCTTTAGTCCACCGAGCGTAAACCGGTGAATGAGTTCATTTGTATATGGTACTGGTGGTGTCTTGGAGCTGAGTGGAAATGAAGACTGGGAATCTCTGAGCAGTTGGGGTATGATAGAGGATATTTAAGCCTCCAGAGTTTGCAGTAGCTTTTCCAGCCTCAAGAAAAGCAGGGATGAGAGAGAGGGGGTGAGGGCAGACAGCCAGAGACAGAGACACATACAGACACAGACACAGAGACAGAGACAGAGGCAGAGAGTTTTGATGGGTTTCTAAATCCATCTAATCTCTTCTGTGTTGTGTGTATGTGTAGAAGTTGGCTGTTTTTGTCATTTGTTTTTAAGTATTGATGGCATTTAACCTGAAGGTGTCTGAACCCAAGCTTTGGGTTACTAGACTGAAGATCTGTGCTCCTGGGTTCTCAGTACTGTCATCCTCCGTCCCCTCAGGGGTACAGACCACCCACTCCATATTGGCTGTGGCCTGTCAGCACCAAGAGAAATTCTTCCCCCACCCCCAAGGGAACAAGAATTGCAGGCTGCTGTTTTCCCATTATTACCTGCTTGGAGTTGTCCTGAAACTTCAAAGTTAGAGGGGGAGGAGGGTGAGAAGAGGGAGGGGAGAGAGACAAGGGAGTGTTCAATGCCTTGGGAGATGGATCTGAACAGGATCATTTTGCCAAGATCTTTTTGCCTAGATCTTTACCAAGATCTAGGTGATTTTTGGTTTGATGAGAGTTGCATTTCTTCAACTTAAAAAATCTCAGGAGTGACTGGGTTCCCTTCTCAGTTTGGTGGGTTCCCTGACTGGACCCCTTTGGGCTAAGCTGAGTTTTGGAGCTATCCTGGGGGCACAGGTAGCTTTCCAGGGTGCATGCTCTGACTAGGGTGGGGTCCTGGGTGGGATTGAGCCAGGAAAGTCACTTTGTTTTTTTTTTTTTTTTACCTTTATCATCTAAGCCTGGGTGTGTAGCATTCTACAGTGGTTTCTTTCTGAACGGCTGCAAAAATCTGCACACAGAAAACATTTAGGCTTACAAACAACTAGAATGCTTTGGGACACATAGAATGCTTTGGGACACTCATGCAGTTGAGAAAAGATACCTCAAACCCAATGCTGGTGAGCAGTGTGCTGTCCCGTCCCTCCCTTTAGAGCAGGAGCCTTCCTTGGACTCAGTTTAAGCCTCTCTTGTTTGTTTTTTTTTGGGGGGGGGGTATCTTTTCCTGGCCTGATCTCTGAGAACACACTTTAGTTTTTATTCTAGCCCGGCAGGGAGATGCTGGGATGGAAGGAAGGTAAGGAGTTGAGCAGTTAGACAACCTCAAACCTAGAGAGCTCTTAAAGCAATGGCTCAGAGGGCCAAGAGTTGTTGGAGAGGCCTATATCCCTGGCTTTGCTAACTTGTTGCTGGAAGCCACAGCGGGGCAAATCTGCCTGTCCCTCTCAGTACAGGCAACCGAGGCCCAGGAGACAAAACGCCCCAAATGAGCTGGTCAAACATTTGTACAACTTTTCCAGCTTTTACAAAGAAGGCCTTCTCTACACAATCTACACTTGGAGATGAACTTGGGAGACAAAGCCTGGAGAGTCCATTGAAACTCACACTTTAGCTTGGCCCAGACAAAGCTCCAGCTCGGAGCAGCTTGATGTGAACAAAGGAAGGCAACCTTTTTATAATTCAAGGAGAAAAGAAGAGAAAACAGCCCCACAAAGGACCCAGAATAGACATTATGGCCTTGCAATGAGGGATGAATTATTCAATGAGCCCCAATAGTTGCTGCGCCAGGAAGTTTTATGGACTCTCCAGTGTGGAAAAAGTGCTCATTTCACCTACAAAATGTTTCTAGTCTAGCTGCGCTTGCTGCCATTCAAGGGAAATTGCTACCATTTTAAAAATCAGAGTATTCTTCCCAGTGGGAGCTGTGCGGTTGACAACACACACACACACACACACACACACACACACACACACACACACACACACACACAAGGCCGGCACACACCTCAGCAGCTGACGCTTAATTTAATTTGGAGCTGTCAGGGGACGCACAGCCTCACTCTATTTGGAGCCTCCAGCTTCTTTTCAGGAGGAGCTTTGGAAGGCAAGAGGAACCCAGAGAAAGAATGGGGTGAAATGTACTGAGATACAGTTTGCAATCTGGAAACCTCAAAAACAAACAAACAAAAAATCCCATCCCTTGTTGGGCATCCAAAGTGTCAGGCTCCCTCCTCCCCTCCCCATGTTTGTACCGTACAGCCGATGTTGAGAAAGAACCCGGACAGAGAAAGAGGGAAGAGCTGATCAAGGAGGGACTTGGGGGTACCGAGACCACCGCGATGGGCTCTTGCCGGATCTTCTAGCCCGGTGGATCCGGCGGGCATTGCTGACATGGGCTTTCGGGTGGACAACTTTGGCGCACGGGGTTTGTTTGGCAGACACTAGGACGCACGGCCGAAAGGGCACCCGAAAGAGGTCAGAACCACTCCCTTTTATTTCTCTTTAGATCTCTTTAGATTTCCCAACTCCCCCTCCCCCCTTTTTTTCTTGACCAGTCCCAAAGCAGCACCGCCCGCGGACCCGCTGCGCACACTGGCCGGTGCGCCCAGGCGCAGGCAAGCCCCGGGGCGCCGTGCGCCCCCCCCCCCTCCCGTAGTCCATCCTTCCCGCATTCTCGCCCCCACTGAGACGAGAGGGTGGGGCAACGTAGGACCCCCCCCCCCCCCCAACACACACTCCCTCACCCACTCGGAGCTCTCGCTGCGATCCGGAGCCAGCGCAGGCCGGGGAGCAAAGCCCCGGCCCAGGCCGGCACCCGGGGGCTGTGGGCATGGCCCGTGCTGGGACCACTCAATGGGCGCCTCTGTTCCTCCCCCGGCGCGGCTGAGCGGGCCCGCGGGCGCCGCCACAATGGGCTGGGCCTCCTCTCCGGTGCCCTGCGCCAAAGTGCCGCGCCGCGCCGCCCCCTCCCCTACGCCAGGGCCCGCTGGCTCGAAGCTCAGCTCGCCGGGCTGCAGCCGGCTCAATTGCCTCCTTTATGTCCTTCTCGCTTTCATCTAGACACAGCCCGCCTCCCCCTTCTTCTTTCTCTCTCTCTCCCTCTCCTTTTTTTCCTCCCTTGCCTGAGGCTCACATTAGTGAAATTTCTGCAACCTCCCCCCCATCTCCCCTCCCTTATTTTAAAGAAAGCTCTTAACACAAAAGCAGTGACTAATCAATAGAAACAGCTCCTTCATCATCACCTCCTCCTCCTCCTCCCCCTCCTCCTCCTTTCCGTGTCTATTCCCCCCCCACCCCCGCAACTTCTTGCAACAAAGTGACGCTTTTCCTGTTTATGAGTTTTGGGAAACATTTTTGCTTTATGTCGTAATGGAATTAAGAGGACAGATGAGGAACTGTAAATGGGCACGCGACTGCAAGACTCTCTCTTAAATATTTAGATGCAACCTTACAATTACTGACTTGTTGTAGCGCCTTTGAAGTGTCAGTTCGGGAGGGCGAGGGGAAAAGAGGCCAGATTGCCAAATTGATGTTTTGATTGGGGCTGGAGACACACTTTCCCAAGACTTTCCCCCTTTTCCAAAATCACAAGCGAGCGTGGGAGGTTTGCAACAATTTCAAAGATGAAGCTAGGAGGCTACAAACCTGGCAGGGTTGGTTGGTTGGTTGGGGGAGGGGGGTTGTATTCTTTACATATTTCTCCGCTCCGATTTGCCATCTATAAGGAACGAATGCTTTTCGTTTCTTGAATTTGAAAGAGCAAAAGTGACCAAAGTTTTGCTTGAGCTTCTATTTTGTTTGTGAGCGCTCCTAAAATGAACGAGGACAAATGATTTCAGATTTTAAACATATATAATCCAGTTCAAAACCACAGAAATAATTTTTTTTTAAGTCCTGGAATTCTTTGTTACCATGGGTGCATGTACAGCGACCTTTTACATGAAGAGTGGGCTGTAAAGTGGAAAAAGGCCTGCTTGCTTCTCTCAAGTTTGCAAGGAAGGGAATGTTGAGATAAATTTGGGATGGACGACAAACAAGAGAATGAACTTTCTCACAGATTAAAATAATGGGGTATGGGTTTGAAATAATGGGATAAAAACTTGGTGACCCTAACCGGATTGACTGTCCACCCTCAAGTCCATTTGTCAGCATCTGGGAATTTGACCTCAACTTAGCTGATACACTTAATAAGGAACCATCCCCCCCTCTCAACAACAACAACAACAACAACAACATTGGCACTAGAAGGCCTTGAATTCTATAAGAATACTGGTGCTGTGTACTTTCCCTCAATGTAGCAGTGAGGATTTCCCGCTGATCTTTGTAACAGGAGAGTTGATCCTTGATTTTCTTTTTCCGCTTGTGTGTTTGACCTGGTTAAGTGTTGTAAGCTTAGTTCATTTGCTGGTTTGACTTTGTTGAGGGCTGTATGCTTAGTTTCTAGCCTTATTGAAAACACCCAGATTTTCTAATTAATGCCTGAAATCGTCTGTTTATTTGGGGGAGGGGTTGATGTGATTGTTGATAGCACGGAAAGGGGAAGGTAGGGCCTTCAAGTATGTAATAATTACTGAAGGGTCATTTATGAGTCCCCAGGGCTAAGCATTAAAACCCACCGGGGCGGCAGGTGGAAACAGACAGTGTGCCAGGGCTCCGGCGAGTGGAGTATACAGAAATCAGTCTCGTGACTGGGAGCTGGTCAGCAAACCCGGCGCTTTCAACATCTATGAA